TGTTTTCATGAAAGCGTGTTTGATTTGAACTGCAATAGTCTCTTTAATTAAAATTTTCCTAGGCCAATCAGTAAGGTCTTCTATACTTTAAGATGACTTTCCTAAAGACCATATATGTCTTTTTTGTTGCAGGACATGGGAGATTCTTTCCCTACAGACATCAAGGTCCCTGAGCTTTGCTTCAAAATAGGAGATGAGCCGAGGTCAGATGTCAAGATCAACCAATTCCCAAGCTATGAACTTGTTAAAGAAGTGAAGAGTATATTATCACCCCAAGAGTTTCAGAGGATCAAAAGCACATTCCTGGGACCAGTCTTGAAGATAATTGGAAGAGGGTTAATAATGTCGGGAAAGATGGTGCACTGTTTCCTGAGCAGAAGTTTGAAAGTTTCGAAGTCTAATGAAATATGGGTACACTTTGGGGGGCAGCCAATGAGATTCTCTATTAGAGAATTTCATATGGTCACAGGCTTGAAATGCTAAGAATGGGAGCAGAATGAAGATGCAGAGAAGAAGACTTTTGATTGGGCTTCCACAGACCAGGCGCACACATGTGAAGACGTGGTCGAGATTCTGAGAAAAACTAATCGAGAGGACTTGGATGAAAGATTTTGTCTTGCTATGCTGATTCTTATAGAAGGCATATTCTTCCAGCGATACAAAGGAAACAAGTTCCCTGCCAAGAAACTCAAGAAAGCTCAAGACATAGAAGTCATAATGAATCATCCTTGGGGGAGAGATGCATACAAATTGTTGCTTTCTTCAATCAAGAAGAATGTGCCATCCAATCTAGTAAAGAATAAATACGATCTCCATGGTTATCCTCTAGCATTGCATCTTTGGATTCTAGAATCAGTGCCTCTGCTACAATCTTCATTCAGCACAATCAGTGTCATAGAGAGTCCACAAGCGTTTTTGTGTGAGAAATACACAAGCACTGCCAGTCCATCAATTGCTCAAGTGGAGAACATTGAAGCATTGAAACATGTAAGTTAATATCTAAGCCTTCATAAATTTTATTGTGTAGATATTTGAGAATTGTTTACTAACAAAGATTTCAATTTTGCAGCTGAAGGTGATTAGCATATTACCTTCAATACCTGGTGATGAAGAAGATTCTGTAGCTTTAGAGGACATTAACGATCAAGACTTGAGCTTTTTAATGGAAGTTATTAACAAGGGCTACAAGCTGACAGTTGACGACTGGACTAAAGGCTGCTTGGATGTTGGTGCAGTGATGGAAGAAATAGCCATCATGTCGTATCAGTTACGAAACAAAGAGACCCTAAAACCGTCTTCATCTGGTGAGTCAATCATGGATAAGTTAGACAACTTATACAAGATTGTGCAAGAGGGATTCAGAACAACAAACACTCGCTTATCAAAGATAGAGGAACATCTAAACATTCCCAAGGCTGCAAATACAGATGATCAGGTAAAAAAATCGAAATCAAATTCAACATTACAAAAACTTTATTAGATGAGATTATTAACAGATGTTCATTTGGTGTTGTAGCATGAACGCCAAAATGATGGTGAGATCCCTCCAGATAACACTACTCATGATGAGTATGACCCCATGCATGTACCAGATCCAGTAATGACAGAGAATGATAATCAGGTGAAACCAATTTATTCATAATTGTTTTTACTTTATTTACCAGTTAAACCGTTTTTAATTTAGTACTAAACATTCATGAAAATTGTAATTGCAGTGTGACACAGAGAATGATAAGCAGTATGAGACAGAGAATGAGTATGATCCCATGCCTGCAACAAGTCCGTTGATGACAGAGAATGATTTGCAGGTGAAGACAACTTATCCTTAATAATATTTACTATATTTGCTAGTGAAACTATTCTTAATCTTGTACTAAACATTCATGAAACTTGTAATTGCAGTGTGACACAGAGAATGTTCAAGAGAAGATAACAGAGAAGGATACTAGGGAAGCCAACACACAAAATGAAGATGAGGATCAAAGCAACAACCAGAATGAAAATCGAGAGGTAAAAACATTCTCATCTAACATTCAAATAATCATGAGTATTGTTATCAGATTGATACAGAAGACAATTATTGCTTTGATTGTGTTAACAGTTTGATCCAGAAGATAGCTATTGCTTCCCATCTCCAACACAGTCGTTGTCACAAACAGTTCAACTTCTGGAAGAAGTTGAAGTTATGTACGAGAAGAAGTGGAGAAAGGGGATTGTGAGGACAATTTTTCAAGAATCTGTACAAGTGTATATGTATGACTCAGAGAAGGAGCATATATTTGATAAAAAAAACATAAGGTTCTACAACAAAGAGAAGGTGAATTATGTATTGTCTTGTTGTTCATAATGAGTATACTTGTGTTTTGTATTGTTGTTCATAATAGTTTTGTTTTGACATTCACGCAGATTCTACATCAAGACTCAACATCTAAACCTCCTACTCCAGCAAATCAGAATCCTAATGAGGAAACACAACCTGAAAATTCAACTGCTGAGGTTTGATCTGAATTTCATAAAGGTTTCTTAAAATCATAACTGCTGAGATTTGATCTGAATGATAAAGTAAATTCACATTTGATCTACAGTTCTATACTCCAACTGAAGCAAATACTCAAACACAAACAGAGGTGATAACAGAGAAGCTGGATCAATCAAATGAGGTAGATAAAAGATGTTCTTCTTAGACATTTCACAAGAATTAAACATATGTACATTCACGACTTATAAAATAATATGTGCAATATTTGAAGATGAATACAAATGAAGCAAATGAGAAAACAGAGGAGATCACTCAAAAGATGGATCAAGTTGATGAGGTAAGCATTGCTGTATTTGATAAAAATTTTCAAGAATGTTTAGCATCCTATTAATGATTTTATACTAAAAAGTTTGTATAAAATGTAGGTAATAACCCGCATTGTTGAGGAGACAGTGGAGATTACTCAGAAGATGGATCAAGTTGATGAGGTAAGCTTTTCACTTGTATTTTGCCTTCAAGAATGTTTAGGATGCTCTTCATGATTTGTGTTTAAAGTAGAGTCGTGGCCAGTCTTTAGGAAGTTGTTTCTATGTGTAAGATATGACAATGCTAGAGTTTGATTTGATAAGTAATGAGAATACTAGAGTTTTTGGGTTTGAGTTTGTTTTGAGTATGATTTTATACTAAAAAGTTTGTATAAAATGTAGGTAATAACCCAAATTGTTGAGGAGACAGACGAGCTTACTAAGAAGATGGATCCAGCTGATAAAGATGGTGAAGAAGAACAAGAAGGCAATCAAAATGAAGAAGATAGTTAAGAACCATCTTTTGATCTTGGTTGTTTCAGTTCATCTGAGGTATATTTATGAAACTTAGGGATTCTTTTTGATTGTAATCTTTTGATTGTAAGGTATATTTTGATTGTGATCCATAATACATAATGGTTTCAACATAATGTTTTCAGGAGAAAAAGAGGAAACGGGTTCAGAAACGCAAGGACAACAAGTTGAAAAAGAAACACAAAGTGGATGCAGAGAAGATGATTATAAGGCGGAGCCAGCGACTAACAACACCATCAATGCCGATAATATCGCCATACCGAGCAACACGTAATCCAGCAACAACAACACTAAATCCGAGTATGAACCCCTTTCTTTCTCCAACATTAGAAAACGACGAAGAAATGAATATTTGGAGGAATGCAAACATACAAACCGGGTTAGTATAATCACTTATTACATGTTTGCTAATCATTAACTCGTTCAAATGAAAATTCAGTTGATTGCTAGTATTTGCTTTGATCAATTCAGGAAGATCACTGACAGAGAACCATTAACGCCACATTGGTTAAGCATTGTGGAAAAACCAGAGGCGCATCTTCAAGAAACGGTATGTTAAGCATTGTGATGAGTATAGCCTATTAGAACAAATATATGATCAGTTTGATTGATTAGTGCTAGTTTGACTCGTGCTAATTATAGTTTGATTGATCAGTTTCTATAGTTTGACTCGTGCTAATTATAGACAATGCTAGAGTTTGAATTGATAAGTAATGAGAATGCTAGAGTTTTGGTGAATAGTAACCTGAGAATACTAAAGTTTGATTTGTTATAGGTAATGCTAGAGTTTGAATTGATAAGTAATGAGAATGCTAGAGTTTTTGTGAATAGCAGCCTGAGTTTAGTCAAATTTTGTATTTGTTAAGATTCTTTTGGTCAAATTATGTATCTGTTAAGATACTTTTTCTTATGTCTACTGAGAACTTTCTTGAAACTGTATTTGCTAATATGAGTTACAATGAATAGCATCCTGACATAACTAGATAATGAATAGCATTCTAAGTTTGCTTTGTCCTAGTTTAGACTGAGAATTGACAGCTCATACTTACATAAATTTGTGATTGTTTGACCTGTAATGTTACTGTTTGTTTTGTGGATAACAGTATGAATTTGTTTTGATTGTTTTCATGTAAACGTATTTGATTTGAACTGCAATAGTCTCTTTAATTAGTATAACGAAGTACCATATCTATTCAAAGAAGTGTATAACGATTATCATGTACTATATCCTGACTAATATGGTTTGGATTTGACAAATGCAGCATATTGACGCAGCAATGTTGGCAATTTGGTTCAAAAGGGAGCGAGACCCGGTGTACTTCCACAACAAGAGGCTGCCAAAGTCTATCTTTGTCAACACTGGTTTCCTTAGAGTCTTGATAGAGTGCTATCCTAGTTTCAAGAAGGACAACCTCAAGACACATTATAAATTCTCGAAGAGACTGTTGGATACCATCAACGGAAAATCGCCTTCGATTTCCAGCCTACAGGCGGCATGGCATGAAGTGGATAATGCATATGGAATTGCATATTGCAAAGAAATCAACCAGCATATTGGCATCGAAGTGAGCTTCAGTGAAAGGAAAATAACGGTGTTCGATTGTAGAAGCGACAACTACAAAGCCGATATGATTAAGAGCCATGTCTTCCCATATGCAGGTATGAAAGTTCTAGACTAGAGTTTGATCTGTGATGTTATAGTTTGATCTGTGATATTAAAGTTTGATCTATGATGCTAGAGTTTAATCTGTCATGTAAGAGTTTGATATGTGATCTAGTGAAATGACTAGTTTGTTCTTGTTTGATCTGTGATGTTAGAGTTAGGTCTTGTTTGGTCTTGTTAAATGACTAATTTGATCTCGTTTGATCTGTGATGTTAGAGTTAGGTCTTGTGATGTGTTTGGTCTGTTATTTGTTATGGTTTATGGTAATCAATGATAGAGTAACAACCTGAGTTTGGTTTAGTTAGGTTTGTGAAAAGCATTCTGAGTTTGATGTGTTTGTGCTAATCAATGAATGTTGCTGTGTTTGTTTGCAGAAATGATTCCGTATTTGCTAGCTTGGGGCAAAGGGCCAAAGCCTGTTGATCTCAGCTCTTTTAAAGTCTCAACCCCGAAAAGATTTACTCGTCACATCAAACATGATGGCAACTGTGCCATATTCTTATCGAAGATGATCGAATGTCATGCAATGGGAGTTGAAGACATGATGAACAAGCTTGACGTAGCGTTTAGTGAAGATACAAGAGCCAGGATTGCATATGATATCTACAAGGAGATTATTGTGAAGGATGTTGATATGTTTAGGGAATGAATATTTGGTCTTAGTATAAGATTAGTATGTGTTTAGCAATTTACATTAAGATAACTGAATTGTTTGTTAAGTATGGTATGTTTTTAGTATTTTTTGTTAGATAAATGGATGTTTAATAGTATCTTTTGTGTATTACTTGTTTCTGATTTTTGTTACTTATAAGGTTAAAAAAAACATTTAGGAAGTAGTCATTAATGAAGTAGTCATTAATGATTCAGGAAGAGATGAATGAAATTCATGATGGTCTTTATGAACAAAAATAATTAGAAAAATGTTTAAAGAAGTACCCTACTTTGAGGATTCAAACCTGCATCTATTCAGTCATAGTCAAAGAGTGTGATACCAGTGAGCTAAGCTCTTCATTCGATTATATCATAACAATACATGTAATATATACACAATTTAGTAATTTAGGAAACTAAAAACGTTATTCAGGAAGACTTATAATTCATTTAGGAAACCATGAATGAAATTTAGGAAAGTTGTAATCATGATGATTGGTTAGGATTCACTGAAGATATGGGATTCAAAATTGAAATTTTAAATAATAAATCATTTATGAAATGATAACAAGGTTTTAGGAAATGTAGTCAGAATGTAAGAAGGTTTTTATGTACAAGTGTAATCATAATTTACAAGTGTAATTAGAATTTAGGAAGGTTTAAATTTATTTAGGAAAAATGTAATGAACTTTAGGAAGGTTGAATCAACTAAGAATAAAATTTTATGAAAAATTGATTGAAGAGAAGGAATTCAATAAAGTTTTAATATATTTAGGAAGAATATAATGAAGTTTAGGAAGGATTGAATGAAAATTTTGATGTTTTAGGAAGAATATAATGATGTTTTAAAACAAAAATTGATGTTTTAGGAAGACTAAAATTTAAAATCAATGATGTTTAGGAAGATTTATATTCATTTAGGTAGCCCTTGATTAAAAGTTAAAAAATAATGTAAAAAAAGACAACATAAGGATTCAAACACCCTACCCCCAATGCTTTATGACAGAGTCTGTAACCAATTAGCCAAGCGTCTCATTCGTTTTTATAGTACAAATATCTATATATATAAAGTTAGTTTTTTCTCTCTTCTCATGATGCCACCTAAGCATCCACATAAACCACATTTTTTCTACATTAAAATAAATTTAAAACATTCATTTAGTGCATATTTATGCTACTTATTTAATTAATAGAAAATTATATAAATAAAAATAAATTATGTAAATAAATGAAATGTTAAATAAGAAATACTTTCATTTTACATTAGTTAGTGGTAATAATATAATTCAACTTTCATTTTAAATTGATCATAGTTTAAAATTTTAAATGTGTTACTGACTTTAAGAATGTAAGTAAATTTTCAATTTATGGTAGAATAAAAACAACATTTATGTAATTGTACATATAAAATCTTAAAGGGGAAAAATAAAATTGAAAGCGAAATATTAGTTTATAACTTGATGAAAAAGAAAATGATTTTAATCCAAATTTAAATATTGAAAGATAATAATTCAAGAGAAAATAACTATAATATGTTTTGAAAATCAGTTAAAATAAATAAAATATCACAATATGAATAAAAAATTAAAAAAATATATAAACCTCCCGCGCGCAGCGCGGGTCAACTGCATATTAACCTCTTCACCGGAAAAATAATTTTTAAAACTTTTGCGGATGCAAAGACTCGAACCCGGATCTGCTACACATCTTGTAACGGTGCGTAACCATTAAGCCAAGCTTATCATTCATATTATGTACAACAATTAAACTAACTATAGGCAATAAAACGCACTAAATGTTACACAAAAAATGTGGTCTTAGTTTGAAATCAATACCTGTCATAAGTGAATTAAATTTGAAAGAACATTGAAACAACCCAACAAAAAAAAGTCAAAAAAGGATGTAAAAACTAAAAAATTATAATTTCAGGACATATTAAATTTATTTAGGAAGAATCTTAGTTCATTTAAGATTGCCTTCATAAAAGGTCAGAATCAAATGAAAACAATGAAATCCTAATCGAAATGACAACTTCTTGAGTATAAAACTGAGGCTAAAAAACATAAAAAAGGGGGATACACAATCTTCTTGTTGTTTCAGCCACAAAAATCTGAAAAAACAACAAAAACACATCAATCTTCTACACTATGATAAGATTACTAGAACATGAACCTTAACATGAAGCTTTAAAGAGAAATGAAAGTATACACAGTACCTTACCAAAAGTAAACAGATTGCATTCCTGCATGTGCTTTTGTTGTGTCCTCCTTGTCCACATCTACTGCATTTGTGACTTTGTGATTTTGAGCCCGGAACGCCATACTCTCCCTTCGAACGAATTCGTTTTTTTGGCGGTCTACCACTAGAAGGCTTACTCCCTGGAGGTGCACAAAAGAAGTTGGTAATCAATTCAGGAAAAGTCCAATCCTTTACATCTCCATTTGGGTGTACGCTCTCGGAATAAGCTTTGAACCAAGTATCATTTAAATGACTATCATCAACAAACTCATTCTCGTCCCGACCAGACCGCTTTGCTGCAGCAATTGCATGGATGCACGGTATTTTGTCAATGTCAAAGACACAACAACTACACTGTCGTTTCCTTAAGTCAACTATAAACTTGTTCACATCATCTTTAACTTCAAATTCGTCTTCATCCACTTGGAAAACGTCAAGCTTCATCGCAGGTGAGAACCTAGAAACCAACGTCTGCACTACTTTAGGAGTGACTCTCTTATTGTGCTTAGCAGCAAGTGCACGTCTCTGGAGAAACCATTCAGTCAGCGTTAACCTTATAGTCTCTAGAAGAGAAAGAACTGGCAGCTCCCGTGGTTCACTCAACAACGAAT